GATTACTGAAGAAAACGAACATAATTCGGACAATGACACTTGAAGCCACAAATAAGTTACATGTACAAATCACGCCAAGAGTAATTAAACCAACGACCTCCCAGGACAAACAATACAACAGCCTCACTGATATCAACGTTTGCAGCCAAATAAACTATGCCAACCTAGAAGCGCAACACCACTCTGCAAATAAAGGCCAAACCATTACAAGACCACTTGACGCCTAGATCGCCCATGAACACTAAACTAAATAAACGCAAGTGGTTGACATTTCCGATAAGATAAGAGCTGACACATGGCACCAGGAAAACGAAACAGCACTCACCAATATCTCCTCTGGAATAAAGCGACCAAACGAAACCATGAGAATCCTCCGGGTTTTTTTTGCAAATCAGCCAAGCGATCTCGTCATACGACGACGCACTTTCATCTGGAATCTTGTTCCACAAGGAGAGCAAAATTCTATTGGCGGAAAAAATTGTTAACGTTCAATTTCTTGTACCGTTCCCGCAGTACAATTTCTCAATGAAAACAGAGATGAACAAACTTCTCGACAAACTTTCAGAACAGTGGAGAACACCGTCTATCGAATGTCCACTCGATTTTTCAACGAATTTTAACACGACCACCGATCCCTTCAACGTCAACTGGCTCGTCGAACTAATCGAACAGAAGGTACAGTCCACAAAAAAAGAAGTCGATCAAATCAGAATTGACACAACCCGATTTCTTAATAATAACCCCATTGAAACTGAACGCACGCGTAGGGCAGCTCCAATAATAGCCGCAGCAGCCATCGCCGGGATCGGACTTTTTGGCTCTGGCATCCTGATGGGAAGTTCAGACAGCTGTGGAATATTGGGGGTTTTTGGTTCGTGTCAAGATAAAGCGCGAGCTAACGCAAAAAGTATCGAATCATTAGAAAAATATTTGATGGCTTTAACCGATTACGTGTCTGAAATTGAGACCTCATCCAACGAAAAGTTTTTCGCCATCTCGAACGAATTGGCAGAAATCAAAGCCATCCAGGAACAAACGATCGAAAACCAGAATAAGATTTGGAAGGTTATTCAGGCGCAGTTTGATGCAATACAAGGTAATTTCCATATACTACGGGATTGCACACAAACTTTAATCGCAAATCAACAGCTGAACTTTAATTATGATACAGCATCATCATTACTTGCCGTTATCCATGCAGACATAACGAGCTACAAAGCTGCCTTGTATGCTTTCAAAACGAATTATTTGAACTCAATCCCAACACTATTAGACAAGAGACTTCCCATGTCTCTCGTGCCTCGAGAATTTTTGCTGGCCATCATCGATGCTGTGTACAAAAATCAAAAGAATGAGAATCACCGGCTAACCTTGGCGATACCACCAAGCGATGTACACTCGTATTACGATGCTAAACTACTGCGCGATGTAACAACTATAGATGAAGGCCTACTACTGAGTTTGGCGATACCATACGCCTCAAGTCAAACAGCATTTCAAATACACCGAGCGCAAGTTGTTCCAATGCCACAACCGGATCCAACCGAAACTATAAGATGGGTCACCGAAGGTCCCTACCTAGCAATTTCGGAAGATTCGATGGAAACAACAGTATTGACTGAAGAACAATATTCGAAATGCCTCGGAACAACAACATACCGAAAATTCCACCAAATAATGGAGACACACCTCGGACAGTCTTCATGCCTTGCCACGCTATATTTCCATTCGGCAAAAACAGCTTTGACGGTATGCGAGACTGAAAAGATTCTGCTTCCAACACCAGAAAAGGCCAAGAATTTAGGTTATGGAATCTGGCTCATAACCTCAGCTAGCGCTGCATTTTCACTCAGGGAGTACAGCTTAGACGAAGTCAACACCCCCAGAAGAGAAGAACATGCAGGCTGCAACATTTGCTTGATAACTCTAGACTGTGGAACGCAGTTAGTAAGCAAATATATAAAGATAAGACCAGACCTTGATAGCTGCGGTAAAATAATAGACTATATTCTATCTAAAAGGCAATATCAACTAAATATTAATGTGCCAGCAACGGTATATTATAATAAGTCTTGGGGTGCGGTACAAGTAGTTGTTTTCGCATTTAACATTTCTTGGTCTTTGTAGGAATGGAAAAAGTTGCTGTCTCAGATATCCGTCAGTAATGTTCGGTAAGTCCTGTTTAGAGTTTTCATAGTAGTTACTGTTTAGTTTACTCATGAAAAGGATATCGAGCTCAAGCTGTCTTCAAACGACCCACGTCAAACCGCCTGGTTGCTTTTGATCTGTCACGTGGAGCTGACGTGGCTCTAAAACAGAAGGAATAAAAGTAGAGTCGAAACATTGCCATTTGAGGTCGTTCATTTCTGGATACATAGAGAATCTCATTGCACTGTTCATACAAGATAGGCCTTACAATCCATCTTAGTTTTTCACTCTTTTTTGAACCTGGGTGAACCTGAGTCCAATTGCAATTCTGCTGATTTGACCATTGTAATCTGAGTCTTTATCATTCAACCATTGCGATTTGAATTTATCAAGCAAGTATTAAAACTGATTAATTTTGTTCGTAAGAAAACAGTAAATGTTTTACATATTCTTTGTAAAACACTGATAGTGACGTTCCAACTACTCTGATACAAGTTCAAAGCCGTTATAAATCTATTGTATTCTGAATTCTTTAAGTCCAAATGTCGTCGGCATAAACAAAGCCTCATTTTCCTGTGGATATTTCGAAAGTTTGTTTCACAATGACTAGGAAAAGTTTCTTAATGACTAATAAGCCTTCGAACAATTCTGTCAAAAAAAATTTAGTAGTGGTTATGGTCATTCAGGATTACTCTTGGTCCTATAGATGATTGCTTTTGATTGAGTGTGTCATAGTCATTTTTTATGCAAGCCTTCGTACTTCCTTTAAGATATTCAGATTGAAGTAATTCAGAGATTTAGACAGTGGCCGTATTCGCTGAGCGATTCTTTTTTGTTATTTTCTGTTAATTATTATAGAAATAAGTGATTTTTTTGGTTGGTATCAAGTGATTTTTTTTCCTGGTTTTGATGAATTGAAACTTTGCTTTTTGGTAGTTTCCCTGCTTTTGATTTTTATTGTGAAGTAGTTTTTAAAGATTGCATACGTGTCAATTGAGTAATTGTTCTTTACACTTGCGATAAGCAACGGTATTGCAATCGGGAATTTGAATTTTTTCCCGTAAATAACCTTTTTCACAGATTGGTCATTTTAGTATGGTAATTATCACTTCTGGTATGCTCAAATTGATGAAATTCAAATAAAACTACTATAATTCAAGTAGTTTATAGGTAAATACTGTTTCAGGTTGTTATAAGTTTTCTAAACATTTTTCTCAATTTTTTTTGGTTTTGTGGCTTTCGTTCTAGTTTCTGTCGGGTCATTTTCCGTTTTTTAAACGTCTTTTTTTAGTCTGGTAAGGTCTAATTGTATTTTTTTTTTCGTTTTTTGTTTTCGTTTTTTTTTTTAAATTTACTGTTTTTATGTTATTTTGCTTAAGCCATTTTATTTGGCTTAATTTCAAGAGCTAAATAGTTTCGTATAGGATTTTATGTTTTAGTATGGATGGTTCATAAAAGCTTCGTTAATTTCTTGAAACTTATCATGACAACAATTGTGTTTTCGGCTTCACAGGTTTCGCTTTTATTGACGCTTGATAGGTGATTGACATTTGTTTTTAAGGCTCAGTTGTCATGATAAGTTCAACTGGGGTCAGTTTATGCTGTATTCGTTCGAAAAAATTATTATACTATTGTAAGTTTCAGGAAGAACGTTTGCGTAAAAAGAAAGCAGGTTGTTTTTTTTTGCTCAGTAGTTTTCAATGAAAAGAATTTTTTTTTCGGCTCAATTGTCGTTTATCCAAATGTGTTCGGCCTTGATGGCGCTCGGTAGATGGTTTTGAATGATCATTTAATTCTCGACTTGTATTCTGCATTATTTTTTTCGAAGTTAACTTAAAATTTACTTCTCCCTAATTTATGAAATTCCAAATGTTTTTTTTTGACTGAGTGGAATGATGGACTAGGGAAGTAACTTAGTTAGCATTATAATTTCTGACATTGTGATTAATCTGATTTTTTATTTTCCTTCATGTTTCACTTTGCTTCCCCAATTTATGAAATTATGCATTGTTTCTTAAAAGTTTTAATGGTTCTGATTCTTGAAAATGGGGAGCAACTTTGTATTCGGGTGTTCTAGTTGTTTTTCCACGCAAAATCAGGAAGAATTAATCATTGGACTAGAATGAGTGATATAATATATTGCAGCCCTTTCAGTCGCGATTCGATTTTTTTCCGTGTCGAGAAAAACTATTTGGAACTAGTTTGAGTTTTCGTCTATTTTAGAGGGAGTAAAGTTAACGAGCAGGCTTACTCAAGAAGGATTGTCATCGCAGATTACTAGTAAATAAGTCATGATTTTTTCAAGCCCTGGAAAATCTAGCAGAAACGTTTTTAAAGCGCCATCTTGGAAATAAAAAAAAACTTCAAAAATTCAAATTAAGTTCTGCAAAAAAATTGAATTAAGTTTTTTTGAATTTTTTTTATCGAAAATTAGTTTTCCATTATGCCTATTTTACTATGAAGTTCGGAATTTTAGCACATCACGCACAAAAAATATTGAAATTTAAAAAAATGACGCAGTTTTTTTAAGAATATCGTCGGAACATTCTGTTCTACTTGCACAGGAACCGGCCTTCCTTGTTACCAAGTTAATTTTTGAGCTTCTGATTTATAAAAGAGAATAAATTTGGGACACGAAAAAAGGCTCTGAATGTTTTCGAATTGCAGATCGAATTACGACTGAAAGGGTTGAACTATGATATAACTCGAGTTCCTACGAATTTCTTGTTGTGGTCACTAATTTTGCATGAAAAATTATTTTTTTTAAGACCAATACAAAGTTCGACCCGACCGCATAGCCAGAAATTCAAACACTTTAATGGTTAATTGGAAATGTTAACGGAAAACTTTCCAGAAATAATGTCTTCCTTCGCGAAAGCCCAGAAGAATATGGGAAGAGGTTCTTATCGAGAACGATCGCAACCCGATGCCAGAAAGCATTTAGGCCGTTTGCAAAAGAAGGTCGATTACAAGAAGCGATCTGCTGATTACCATAGTAAGTCCGACAAGTTAAAACGATTGCAACAGCATGCTGCGAATAAAAATCCGGATGAGTTTTATCATAAAATGATTAGCACTAAATTGAAAAACGGAGTGCACATAAAACATATATCTGAAGACGCCAGTACCCCTGAACAAGATTTAATTGAAAAGTCTCAGAGTCATAATTATGTTGTTGGTAAACTGACAACGGAGTCTAGAAAAATTGACAGATTGAAAAATCAGTTGCATTTTCTGAATGAGGATCCAGAAGAAATTGCTAGTCACAGCAAGCATATAGTTTTTGTGGATGACGAAGAACAGCTCAGTAATTTTGATGCGGCTTCTTATTTCAACACAGCTGAGGAGCTTGTCGGACGGAAATACAATAGACCTAAATTGACACAATTGAAAAAGTTTGAGTTTGAGAAACCGAGAAACTCAAACGTTTCCGAGAAAATGAAAAAATACCAAGAGTTACAGGGACGATTAGCCAGACGTCAAAAGTTGGCTGTCATGGAATCTAAGATGCAACAGAAGAAGAATCTATGCGATAGATACAATAAGCCCATAGCAAAGTTGGCACCTGAAACCGAGAACACTGCTGCAGTGTACAAATGGAGCTATAAAAGACGGAAGTGACCCCTTGATTGTTTTTTTTTCAGTATTTTGATCATAATATGCCATTTGTTTGTTAATTCATTCTTTTTCAAACTTGCTTCATTCACTGTTCCTCTCACAAATGTATTGGGAGTTTCTAAAGTAATTGCTTTGATGAAAAATTGAAAAAGTTTTCTTTTAAATTCCAGATGTAAAATGAGCGATATTTTGCCAATGATGACGGTTGCTTTGGTTTGGGGTGTTACAAATCCTTTGATGAAACGCGGAGCTGCCTTAACTTTGCAAAAGAAAGAAAGCTACCCTGGAAATTGTATGCTTCGAATTTTGCTAGAGGTCTTGCAACTGTTTTGCGGAGCTAGTTATTTGATGCCATTTGCGGTCAACCAATGTGGCAGCTTGTTGTTTTATTACTGGTTGATTGCACCCTCAGAAGAATCAAAGTTATCTGTCGTAATACCTACCGTGAATGCATTGACATTTGTGTTCACTGCAATTTTTGCTTACTTCTTCAACTCAGAGAACCTGTTTAATGTCAGAAAGATTTTAGGGCTTGCCATGATCGTAACGGGGGTCTATTTAACTACAAAATGAACATCAAAATCAGAAAAGCCTACAATAAACCTGATTATATCAGCAGCTCTACAAGGTTTTTGCTTTTGATCAGTCAGGCTCTGGAGGGATGTTTCTTTCTTGATGTGACGAATATGAGAGAGAGCACCAGGCATTGAAAGCAAACGATTACTATTGAAGTTTAGATCAGGAAACTTTCGATCTATATTTGTGACACTCCGATTGTATAACCGAATTCGAAAAATGAATTGTGTTAAATAATAAAGTTTCAATTTGAAGAAAGTAACTATATAAATCTGATTTAATAAACAATCTTTTACAGCTTTTTTCTAAACAACAGGGAGTGTTGGTCGTTATTTGAAAAAAATTATCAGGGAAAATTTAGGAAATTTGCTATCGGGAAAAACATAAATATCGAAAAAACGCAGCTGGAAACAGGACACTCTTAGAAGTTTCTTAGAAATGATGCAGGGTTGTGGTTTAGGTAATTTTTTCAGCCATCGATCGAAAATATGAATTTTAAAATTTAGGATCCTTTACAGGCTGCGCATGCGGCGATTTGTCCGCAAATCTTCTTGGATTCTAAAATCAATTGACAAATTACGACCTTGGTGGACCCAATTTTTCTCAAATTATCGAAGACCTCCATTTTCCTACCAAATCGAAGACACGAAAGTTGGCGCTGGCACACGAATAGGGCAATACGAAACCTGGCGTGTTGTTCCGTGAACGATCAACTAGCCCTTGAAAAGCTCATACAAATTCGCGAAAATCCACACCGAGAAAAAGTGGTTTACTCTCTGGCCAGATAATTTGAAAGTCAATTGTTCACTAGCGATACTACTTACGTGTGTAGAAATGGAGGAGAGTAAAAACACCGACGATATGTTAGTGTTTGGCTACGGGAGCAAATTGTTTCGAGACGACGAGAAGGCACTCTGGATCGATTCCAAACAGCATCTGGTGCCCTGGAATGGAATGAAAAGTCTGATGATAGACAGGTAAAAAATAGAAAAAACCAGAGGAGAATTAGACGACGGGGACATTTGTGAGCAAATAATTTGATTTTTAAATGTACATGAAAATACCGTATCACCACATATTTTGCAAAGTTATAACATTACTTCAAGATAGAACAGCGGGGAAAAAGAAACTGGTTTTCGAATAGCAGTTTTAACGCTAGTAAGAGCAAATACCTTTATTTTGCAGTTCAAATATTTGACCTTCGAAATCTTTTTAAATCAAGTTTTTTCCCTGAAGTTTTTTCAACGGTTGCGATTAGCAAGCGTTATCATACCTGAAAATAGACCTTTTTTCGGGTTAGCAACTAGTTTAACAGAATCACGTAAATCATTTTACCCGTGGTTCATATGAAATCAGACGTCAGTTCGCGCATGTGGCGAAGAACGCACTTGCTTATTACACTTGCGATCCTTCTTTTTGAATGCGTTATTTTCTAAGCTAACTCGCAAATAAAAGTGTTCATTAAAAGAGTTCACTTATTTGGAAGTTTCACTGTAGCATTGGAAGTTGCATAGCATCTGTTCTCTGCTTTATGTTTGACTGAGTGGTAGTAGTTGTGAATAAGATTCCGTGGGTTAGTGGTTAGTGTGTTAGACTCTTATTCTCTAGGTCGGAGGTTCGAATCTTAGAGGTGGACGAGTTTTTGCTAATTCGAGGATTGTTTCTGATTTTTATAATAGCACTTTCTAGAGCTGCTTTTTGTCGTGTTTTCTCAAGTGATTGCGAAGCTCCGCCTCTGTGTACAGACAAAGGTCAATGGTTTAGATTCATCCAGGACTTGTTTGAGAGTTATGAACATAGTGAGTACACTTATATAGGTCTTGGGCTCTTTTCCAGTTCCCCCTTTGCATTTTTTCTGAAATTCATTACATGAAAGTCTTTTTAAAATAATTTTTAATGTTATAAACTGCATTAAAACATGTCAGCGTGAACAGCTGAACAAATTTTCACAACATTTCTAACATGAAAATTGCCGTGTGAACAATTTTTGAACATCTCTTTTTGTAATTTAACAAAGGGGGGGGGGAAACTGGAAAAGAGCCAGGTCTTGCTGGTTTTTTTTTCAGGAAAGTCTTAAATTTGTTCACGCTCAATTTTGATTTTTCGCGCTTTGACTTGTGATTTCTTTTCAAGTTGTGTGCATTTTCATTGTTAAAAGGAAGGCAAACTCCACTATCCAGAAAAAGTGTAAAGTCACAAAAAACGTCATCGAGTTCTGACTTCGACAAATGGAAATTGATTATCAAACTCCCAGCGAAATGAAAGTTTTACGTATTGATCCAGTTTTCTCAAACTGGGTTAATTTTATTTAAAAGGTGACCATCAAAAATTGTTCTACAAATTCAAAGAGTTCTAAGGCCATCTCTTCTTTCTTCGAAATTCACAAACTGAAGGCTCTTGAAAACAAGTCATTTTTTTCAGTTTCCTTGCATTCATAACTCTTTTGCAACTGTTAGTTGGCGTTGTTTTTTTTTGTAAGCGCGTCAAAAAAAATTTTTTTCGATCTTCTGTTTATCTGATTTTTTTCGACTTAGTTTGCTTAAAATTTGAGCATTTTTAAATCAAATTTAAAAAGTTTTCAGTGAATTTCTGTGCTGGCAAGTAATTGTTCTAAGAGTTTAGAGATTTTGCCTATTTTTTTCATGCTATTTATTAAAATTAGTAGTTGTTTTGTTTCTAACTTCAGTGATTTGTTCTGTTAACTTGTTCTGTGCATTTTATTGCATTGGTAATACCCATGCTTGAGAAGACAAATCGCAGAAGTTCAATTCCAGTCGGGACCTGTTTTTTTTCTGGAAACTGAAAAGTTTCGATTATTTTAGATTTTCGTGTCTGCTAATCTTTGTCGGATTAGGTCCCGCAGAAAGTTTCGGTTTATTCTAAGCTTTTTGAAAGCTCGTTGTGAATTATCTTTAAGTATAGCAGGAATTTTTGCACTTTTTTGCCATTTTTATAAATTTTTCGACTGAAAAGATTTTCGAAGTTTTTTTCATTCTCGATGTGTCTTTTCATTTGCTGGTAATCATATTCATTCATTTTTGTATTTACATTCAAGTGAGTGTATTAGTACGAACCTTCTTTTTTCCAACCTAAGTCGCTAATATTATTGCCACTTTGGGGCAACCTTACAGCTTTTTCGTAGCATTTGCTTTGACCTTCGAGTAGTAATACGTTAACAGAGTTAATGCATTTTTATTTCATCAAATGAACCGAAAAAAGTGATTTGTTTCAAACAACATAACAATAATAAAAGCTCGATTTCAGAAATTGAGTCTATTTGTATTTGGTGCCACTTTTGCTGAATAGCATTGGCTATTTATTTGCGTATGTAGCTGATTTTTTGTGGGTAACATTTGTCGGTTGTTAAGCTTGTGTGGCTGAGTGGATAGTGTGTGAGACTCAAAATCTCTTGAATGCAGGAGGGCGTTGTTTCGAATCCTACACGTAGCCGAGTTATTGCTAATTTGAGGCTTATTTCTACTTTTTCTTATTTCACTTGATAGAGCTGCTTTTTGTTCTTGTTCTCGCTAGTATTTGCGAAGCACAGCTTCGCCTCTGTGTGCAAATGATGCCAAGCTTTGTTTCTCCTCTGTGTCAAAAATTGCCCTGCGAACTCTGAGATTGGGGTTCAGTCGAAGGAACATAATACAAACATTTTTGTGGAGCTGGGACTCGTCATAATTTTGCATTTGTCATGTCCTTGGAAAAGTCCGCTTTCTGAAACTTACTGTCGTATCTCAATAAATTACTATGAGGCCTCTGATGGTTGCTCTAAGTTTTACTAAGTTTGTTATTTAGTCGTTTTCCAAATGACGAGGAAATTTCTATGCCCGAGAGATATATCGGATGTCGTTCAGTTCGCAGGGAGGTATTCCTCTTGAAGGCTCAAAAGACAGAGAAAGAAGGTTAGGCAGAGACTTTAATTTCGAGTCAAGCTGGCCACTCTCGCGGATATCTCTCGAGTGATTTTACAGTTTTTATAAATCAAGAGTATATGTTATTGCTTACACTCATCAAATTTATTTAAAGTTATCAGTAACGATCGGCCACTATGTTTTTCACCATCATGCCTTTTTCGTACATTGTTATTTGAGTTCAAATGTTTACTTCCTGTTTCTTTCGTAATGATGTTTGCTAGTCCCCTCGTTCACATCTTCTTGTTGTCTCACAGAAAATATAGTCCGTGGTCGTAAATACCAAATAGGGCCTTGAAGTAATTTGGTTGGGTCAAATAATTAATCACAGCCGTAAATTAAATTTAGGGATGGACACTTACATTATTTTTTCATCTTTCTTGAAACTTCCCCGCCAAATCTGAGATATAGAGTTCTATCGAAAAAAACTGGTTATGGGACTCTTCCTTCTATTAGTGGCTACGCGATGAGAGGGCCAATCGAAACAACAGTCTGTAGAAAACTTCCCTGTAAAAGCAGCTACGCCATAATTTGTGTAGAAGGACTATATTGATTTTTAAAAAATTCAAGTTTTTGAGATTTTGATCGCTTTTACTCTTGCGATAAGCAAGGCTATTGCAATCGAGTACTAGACTTTTAACCGTAAATAACTTTGGCAGGACTCATCTGGACTCCTGTTGGTACCTTGGTTCATAATGAAGTCAAGTTTCGTAGTGTCTTTTGCACTCTTAGCCTGCATGTAACGAAAACGCATGGGACGGGAAAGTTCCTGGGTTCGAATCTAACCAGTACCTTTTTTTTGAAACTGAAAGTTTCTGTTTCAAATAAGTTGACGGCCTAATATTTGTTTGTTTAATTAGTCAGCTTAGTTTCCACATCTACGAATAGTTTATTTTGCTGTAAACAATTTTCTTTGTTGTTGTTTCCATGTTTTTTCATTCTAAAAATCCGGCCGAATCGAAGTTTGATTTTTACATTGGTTGTAATTTTACCAACTCGATTTGTTAATTTTTTTTCGGTTTATTTTTTTTCTTAATATATACTTAGTAGCCTCCTTTTGGGTAGTTTGAGGACCGAGTTTTTTGAATTTGCGTCTGTGTTTTCTGTGGGCAAAGGGGTTTGAAAATTTTTTTTTAGCTTGAATTTTTTGTCTTGAAGGGTTTCTGCTCAGGTACTTTCGGCTTTTTTACTGCTTGGTTTTTATGATTTTAATTTCAGTCAATCATTCAGTGAATCTGGCGTAAAGTTAGAAAATTCTATTTTAGTCGAGGCATGTGTGTTTTTATTGCAAACTGTGATTTTTCGGCTAAGTTAGATTTTTTTCATCAGCTTAATTTTGTCGGTTTAATTCCGCTTGAAGGTTTTTTGTGTATTCGGCTTTCCATCTGAAAGCCGAATGTCTATCCATCCGAAAGCTGCTTGTATACCTTTCAATGGTACAGGTATTTTTGAAATATATTTTAAGCTTTTGTTGCAATTTTTAATGACAAAAACTATTGTACGTTGTTTTTTTCTTTTTTTTTCAGTTTGATTTTAATAATAGTCATTTATTTTTCTATCGCAAGTGGTGCGGAGCTCAGCTTCGCCTCTTTGTTTGAAGTGTCTTTTGTTTTTGTAACCAAGGACTTGTCAACTTGGATGTTTATGATCAATTGAAAGAACATAGTGTAGAGATCTTCCCTGCATAAACGGTTACACCCTAATTTTGTGGACAAGCAGGTATAGTTTGGGAAAGTTCTATTTTCCAATTTTTTTCGTTTTTTTTTTGGAAATGTTTCCACTTTTGAAAACTAGCCAAATCTGATATTGAGTTCAATTAAAAGAGCGGAATGTAGGTTCTCCCCTTCATAAGCGGCAAATACTTTAATTCAATAGAAACCCTTAAGGGTATGGTTTTGAGAACAGTTTTTGCTATTTTGAGGTGCAAGTTTTTTTATGACGGCAGTTTGTGTTCCGCTCAACAGGAGGTCAACCAGAATTTTTGTGCCTTAGTTGCCAGAATTTTTTTTGCCTTTGTTTGGCCGGTCGTTGAATTTTTAAAGAATTTCTCAAAAAAATTCGACTTCCGTCTTTTCTATTCACTCTCTTGTACCGCAATGTTTTCGTCGTATCCGAATTGTTGCCAAGCTCTGTTTAGCCTGTGTTAAAAATAATGCGTTATTGTACGTTTTCCTGTGTTCCATTTTCAACAGGGGCGTAGGATCAAATTGAAGGTTTCGTTTTGTTTTTTCTTTCTCATTTGTTTCCAGAAAAATGTATGCTGGCCTTAATATCTCTTTTGACGTAGTTCACATATAGTGTCAATTTTGCATATGTCAATTAAATAGTCAAAGCGCTTTTATTGAGAAGTTTTGTTCTGCGAAGTGTTCATCGATAAATTGCGCCACTTGTTGCAAGCTTTAGACAGCCTCTTAAATAGAGATGTTTGATGTACAAAGTTTCAAAATTATGTCCGAAAGGATATCAAAGATGAAATTTTTTTCGTTGTTTTAAAAAAACATTTGTGATTTTTGTTTTGGCTGAACTGAGTCTTACTGCCTTTTATTTTTTAGCTGAATTTGAAAGTGCAGGATGCGTGTGGGTCATAATTTTGTCAAAAGTTTTTGTTGAAAATAAACTTGTTTGTTAGCAGCCTAATTATAAACTGTTTTTTGTATGCGCAAAGATTTGCAGGATCTTCCTTCATCTCTGACTGGGGAATTGATAAAAATTTATAATATTTGTTAATCGGCATATTTTTTCTTGTGCGAAACGATGTTTTATAGCAGTTTCATGTTATATTGTTTCCGATAAAAGACTGACTGGCTGGTTTTCAAACGAAAATTTACTCCACAAAATTTGATTCAATAATTTCACTCTTATAGAAATTTTTTTGCAGATTGAAATTGGAAGATATTGCTCTAGCCATGGGGTGGGTATGTAAGATGTAGAGTAAATTGAAAGAAGGTTGATATGTTGCATGTGGCTGTAATATACCGTTACCGGCGGGTGGCGTGATACAGATATACAGATTTCCTGTAAATAATTTTCCTTCACAGATCAGTCAAAATTAGAAATGGTACATTTAGGTTCGGTTCATAATGATTTCAAATTTCTTTGCATCTTCGGCTTTCATGGTCTGGAGGTAACGAATGCGCCTGGGACGGCAAAGGTCCTGGTTTTGAATCTGACAGGACCTGTTTTTTTTTCGAACGCGAAATAGTACGTATCGAAAAAAATTGTTGGCTGGTGATCGTCTGCTTATGTTTTGTCGTCTTAGTTGCCATATTGTAGAATTGTTTTTTGGAAAAAGTTTTTTTTTAACATTATAGTTGTTCTTAGTGTTGTTTATTGTTGTTTAAGGTAGGAATTGCTCAAAGATTGTGGGCTTTGTTTCAATTCGTGCTTTTTGTTATTTAAAATTCAAGTGTCTGGCATGTTTGCCTTGAATTAACTTCTATCGAGACATGAAAGTTTATATGACTTAGCTTTTTTTTCAGAAATTTTCTTTTTTTCCGGCTTTAATTTTATGTCAGTGTTGTATCACAAGTGGTGCTAAGCTCAGCTTCGTCTCTGTCTTTTCAGTTCAATTTTGATTCCTTTTTTAAAAGGAAGGCAAATACCGCTATCGAACAGCAAAAGTGAGAAGCTCACAAAAAACGTGATCGACTTCTAGCTTCGAGAATGGAACTTGTTTTTTTTTTCAGATTTCCCTCCGAAATAAAATTTTTACCTTATGATCCAGTTTTCTCACATCGAGTTGATTCTCTGACTGTAAATATTACGAGCTGTGTGAATGTTATTTAGCGCTACTGGCTGTCAATTGCAATCAATTTGTGTTCATAACTTTAGATCTGTCTAGAGTGGTTAAGACTTATCTTGGTTTGAAGGTTACTGGTTTCGGCTCTTTAGCTTCTGGAATATCGCTAGTCGATCTGGCATATTAGTGCATGATCGAAATAATTAATTCAGTTGCTTGCTGTTCGGTTGAATTTTAGCTCCATCAAATGTTCCAATGATTGGTATTAATATTCATCAATTGCTTACTTAGATCAAAAAATAAAAGAGGACGCTCAAATTTATTATCTAATGTGCAGTGCATGGCATCATACAGTGGCCATTGAAAACAGTCCTCTCATAGAAATAAATGTTTTTCATTAATTCAAAATACTTCATTTGGTTCAACCTTTTGAATTTGTTAGATTGTTGCTACTAATTTAGTCGGCAACTCGTTTTTAATTTAAAAAAAACGTCACCGTAAAACGGTTTGAAATTTTAAAATGGTAATAGTACAGTTTGGTTACTTTTCACGAGTTTTGAAAACAAAATGGTAAAAATGTCTTCGAATTGCAATAATTCTCGCAATCACGAGTTTGATTTAAAAAGTTTTCGCCTCATGCAAAATAGAAAATCGCCTACTTTAATAACGCGGTTTTTTTGGTTTTAGATTTGTTTGTGATTTTTGATTTATTTTCACATGGGCGGGAGCAAATATCTGGTAATCGGGAACTGATGTTTCGGTTTGACCTTGTTTTTTTAGTATGTATGCAATTGAAGTTTTTTAAGTGTAAAAATTGAATTATCGGACTTTCGTTTGTCTGCTGAAGTTTTGTCGGCCAATTTGCCACGTCCCGGATTTTGCTTGCACTGTAAGCAAGTTTTGTTTCAGTTGCAAGTCCAATTGTTGTTCATTGTATTTTCAGGTGGGACTTTAAACTTCACAGATTTTTTATAAACTCAATTTTCGGCTCAACTTGTGTCTGCTCAAAGATTGTCGGCTTGGTTTCCTATTCATTAGTTCTGTTCGGTTGCTAATTTAATATTAAATTGTTTGACATGTTTGCCTAGATTGAGTTTCTAGTGAGACAGTCGAAAAGTTATATTGTGGTTGATTTAGTTTTTAACTTTTTTCATCTTTTTTGACTTCTTAGGTTTTTTATATTTGTTAAATCGCACGCAAGTGGTGCGAAGCTCAGCTTCGCCCCTCTCTTACGTTTTTTTAGTTGTAACAAAGTCTAGTTGCAGTAAAACCATTAAAAAGGCCCTGACTGGTTGAAAAATACCACTGATTTGTAATTCAAGCTCGCAGAAAACGGAAACTTGTGAATGGACCGACAAAGACTTGCATAAATCATGTTTATTTCCCAGCAGCACATGAAAAACTAGCACTAACATCAGGATAAACTTAGTCATAACCCCTGAGAAGTCGAGAAGAAGTTAATAATACCTAAAGTTGATGAAGCAAAATTAGATAGCATTTGATGAACGACATTTCGTCATCCTACCCTCCCCATCCCCCAAAAGAAGATAAAGCAGAAAGAACTTCAATTATTTAATTAACAATGCATACGAACCACCAGCCAAACGACCATTTTTTATGAAATGTGGTATTCGATATGGATTTTTTTCTTCACAGAACTACTAAGCAATGAAAAAAGTGAGGTACTTAGCTTTAATTTGCGACATAGCGATGAATTTTTCTGTATCATTAAGACAAGACTTACATGCATTTTTTGTTATCTTTTTTTTTGGGATGGGTAATGTTGCGGTACCCTCAAGAGATATGGTTCGGATCATGGTGGATCTCCAACAACTGGCCTTCTGACAGAGACCCAATGCTTACATGACAAAATCTGTTGTAGGTTTGACGTGCGGGGTCTTCTTCTAGACCAGCGGGACTTTGACGCCGACTTTGTGCCTCATGATCGGCGCTCGATTTCGGCAGATGAAATGACGATGGAGAAACTGTGCGATGAGGAGAGATATTTGGCTCTAAACAAGGATCTACAGGTCAGTCAATAATGCTCTGTGCACTCGTTCTTAGGTTTTTAATTTACTTTAGACCGAGAAACTTCATAAACCCACAATTTCTTAAATTTTTAAATAAAGTTAATTGAAAATGATATACACGCAATTGAATGTCAGTCGAAGTGTAAATGAAGGTAAAACGCGCAATTATTTTGAGACTAACATGGTAAATAGATACCTCCGTGCTGGTTTGAAAAAATTGCTGTGAGTTTTTGTTCTGCAATGAATAATATTTGTCCATTCAGGCTGAGAAAGAGAGAGAAGAGGAAGAGTGGAAGCGATACCAGGAGGCCTTGCAGGAGGGCTTCCACGCCATAGGTCACGAGTACGAAACCAAAGAGTACGACCCCATGGAACCCACTGAAGACGGTACTTAAGCATCTACTTTGAATAAGATTTAGTCTAATAAATTAATGTAGATTGCAGTCAATTTTTGTTTCTTTTTTCACTGGTTTTTTTCATGAAGTATTGACATATTCTTTTTTTGCATCCTTTTGGTAAACAAGAATGGCTGATTGCATTGCAAATAGCATAGAAATCACAATGATTGGTGCAAGTTTGGTTCGTTTGGTTTTCTGTAGGAAAAAATCTGGAAACTTATTCGCTCTCAATTTTTTTTTGGTTTTGATTCAATTTTGGCCTTTGATTTATTTCAAGAGATTAAATTCTTTTTCCTATTACATCCCCATCTAATAACAAAAAATGTAGCTACATCACAGTAGGATTTGGGCAAATTCATTCGAAATTGATTTAAGGTGACAACAGAGCCAATGAGTATGGCTTAAAGTTTTCAGGAAAAATTAAATGATTTTCAAATTCAACCATTATGAAATCGAGTTCCTAACGAGACAATTCAGCACGGAGTGAATCATTGCAATCTATTATGGTTGAGATCTATGATTTTTGTGAGAGTTCTTGTTTGAGAAAATTTTTTTTTCAGTAGTAAATTTTGTTCCTAGTATTTTTCCATTGTTTGTTCGCATTGTTGTTGGCTCCTTTTTCCCCATTGTTTTCTACACATGCGATAAAACCAGGGTGTTTCAACCGGTTACTAGGTTTTTTTCCCGTAAAGAATTTCACAAGGTTCACAAAATTTCGCACGTGAAATTTTTGCACGTGTTTCAACTTGCTTGTTGCCCTTGCGATAAGCAAGGGTGTTGCAATCGAGTACAAGACTTTTTTTCCGTAGATAAGTTTGTTCGGAAGATTACCACGTTAAATGACGAAAGTTAGGCATCTGATCTAGAGCTACTGGGTCTCCAGCTGAAAAAAATTTTAGATATAACTTTTGTCGGCGTAGTGGCCGAGTGTTTTTATTTCTGTTGATTTTTGAGTACCTTTTTCCCTAATTTTCAAGAGGGTAGAAACATTTCATGGTTCGCTTTTTTTCTACACGCCATAACTTATTTAGAAAAGAAATTTTTCTTAAAAAATTTTGCATTAAATGTTAAGTTTTTCGGATGCATTGTTTCTGATTCGTATTTTTTACCTAAAAATGCGTGGAATTACTTTTAGATATTTGTTTTGGAATCAGGTTTGAGCAATTTCATTTAAAATCGATTCAAGGCGGTAGTGTATTGCTTTAATATCAAAAGTTGTTCGAAAATAATTCGTAAATTTTTTTTTGCAATTTTTCTTGACTGTTTTCAAAAGGAAGATATGTGGCGATTGTCGTACGAGTTTTATGCTTGTGGTGTTTTCTGGTTATCTTTTTTGTTATGATTCTGCTCTTTTAGCGTTGCGTATCAAGTTCATTTTTTGTTGGAATTTGGTTAATTTAATAAGAGTTTTTTTCCAATTTTCTGCAAGTTCTTTTGTGGAAACTGTTCGAAAATTAAGCCTTCATTCTTTTGTATTTAATAAAAATTTTCTCTTTGATTTTGATCCTAGCTTATAGCAAATGTTTGTGTTTATATCCTTTTGGTCCTGTCGGATATGCAGGTAGTTTGGATGCAAGAATTTGAGCAGATCAAATTTTGAGTACATGAAGGAATTTTTGGATCTCGATGTTTTCACCAAAATTTTTTTGCGAGCATTTCCATCTATCGATTATGAGAAATAAATGCATGGAGTCAGTGTAGCCCGAATCCTTCTACTGTTTTACCTAATTGAGTTTTGTAAAAATTGCAATTTTTTTGTTTTTTAAAAGTTTTTGTTTTTCTTGCTCCTTCAGTTTCATCGCTCGAAGTTGTTTTTGCTACTTCTTGAGGATTATGTCGTTTTAACTCTGTAGTGGTTATATCGCAAGCTGTGCGAAGCGCAGCTTCGCATCTGTGCATAAGTTTGTTTTTTTGTTAAAATTGATTTATATGGACTTAGCTTATGACTTTCCAGAGAAACATTTTTGGGACGTCTTTTTTTTTCGCCCCGTTTTTGAACTGTTAGCGCCTATTTGTTTGTAATCACACCCGAAAAGTTTTCGAAGGTAAGCTTCAAAAGTGTAAACCCTCAAAGTAATTTAGATCCAAGAATAATATGAAGTTTTCTTTCAGTATTTTTTGTCTTTTCATCAGGGAACTGGACTTTTTCCCGTTAACAACCTTTCTTACAAATCTGTAAGAAAATGAACTTGATTTTTACTGAACCTTAACATTTTCCAGACTCGTTTCATCGCGTTCGTTTAGTATTTTTTGCCCCAAACTATCTTCGACAAGTTCGCTGTTCTGTGTACTAGACTTTTTATTACAGTTCACAGAGTAGATGAAATGGCAATCAGTAATTTTTTTTGTAACCGCTATCAGTTGCAAAATAATTTTATCGCTACCGAAAATGTTTTTTGGTAGATTTCTTTCGCTGAGTTTGGTAGTCTTCAAATCTGTCGTCTTATTTTCCTGATGTTTTAATCCTTTTAGTTATGCAATTTTCTCCTGGTTGATGCAAGTTTTGCTTGAGTTGAAAGACTTGTTGATTCGTTCCTGTGATTTGAACTTTAGTGACCTCTGATTTTGTATAATTTCCTTTTTTTACGTTTTCTTACTCGAAAGGTTTATAAATCTTAAGTGGCTTCGACAAATGGGATATCGGTTTAGATTTTAGATTTTATTTTTTTTTAGATTTTCATGTGCTTTTGCAGGGAGTAAATCTTTGAGCAGCAAATCCCAAGAGCTCTAAATGTTTTGTTGTTTTTCTTTTTGATATAATGATCGTACACCCAACTTTTGTCGGCTAAGATGACGCTCGGTAAGTTTTTTGAATGGAAATTCAAGGCAAGCGTTAAATTTTTTTTTCTAACGAGTCAATTGTGTTTCTCGGAATATGCACCTTAAATTCAACGAAACGAGTTTTGAAGATACAGCTTTTTAATGTATATGTCTCCGATATACTGTCATCTGCCCCATTTTTTGTTTCCGAGTTGCATTGCAAGTGGTGTCAAGCTATGGTTTGCTTCTGTGTAACACTTTCGTCTTTTATTTAGGTACCAGGTTTTTTTCCCTTAGAAATTTTTGCCTGCAGAATTTGCTCGCGGTTTTTGTTACGTGCTTCAAAACAAACCCCAAAGAAGGTTTCTTGAAAATTAGTGTAGAGGTTGCGCCGGTGTTTTGTAATGGCAAGGCCTCCGAGTCTAGCTGGAGACTGTAATTTCATCTTTTTCTCGAAGTTGAGTAGTTTGTACAATTTTAGAGAACCATACCTAACATTTTTAATGGCTCAAATATTTCAGTTTCCAGATTTTATCAAACTTGCTAGACCAAGTGTTTTGTAATAGGGAAATAGACTTTCTTCCTGAATTTTTTAAACTAATCTGAAGAAATTGAACTTGCTTTATTATTGAACTTTAGCTTCCAGGCTGATTCCCTTTAAAGCTTGATGTAACGTGGTCCATGTGCACCCTAAGGCAAGGGTTCGATTCCAGTTGGGACTTTGTTTTCATCATTATGTAAGAAAATGAAAATTGAATTTTTGGACGTCTGTTTATGGCTTAGTTGCCACATCAAGGATTTTTCTTGTGCTTTTAGCAAGTCTCGAACCTGCAATGCGCAAGTTTCTTTCGCGAAAAAACTATATTCTGGTTTTTAACGCTTGCTAGCTCCGCTTTGTCGCTGTAATAAATGAATATAAATCAGAAGAATTCTTTGATATCATTGAAAGGTAATGAAAAACCTAAACTAAACAGTTTTCAATTTAATTATTTGAAAAAATTGTTTAAGAACTTAGGAAAAAACACTTAGTTTTTTTTATGTTTCGATTTTCGTGTTTACTATCATATTTCTTTTTTTAAAAAAGCAAGGCTTATGATATATTACCAGTCCTTGTTCCCTATGTAACTGGTATATTTATAAGTTTTGTGCAAAATTCTTTCTGCGCTTTATTTAAGCAATATGCAGAGTTTCCGCGCACAATTTTGGTTTCGTGATTTTAAATAGCCTACGTTGTACATGCTTATTGAAGCACGCGCAGTTCTGCTGGTGTTTCACGCACTGTGAACCAAGTTATTTACGGGAAAATTTCTATTACCGGATAGCAACAGCCGCCGTGCTTCTTGCCACTTGCATATCGTGAAGTATGATGAGTCACTTTGGGATCACTTAAGTTGTCTATATTATGAAGACTTCCCTTCCATCTCCCCATTAGTTTCAGTGCTCCCTTGCTTCTTACCAGATGCATATCTTGAGGTATAATGAGTCCCTTTGGGATCACTTATGGTTGTTTATCTTCTGAAGACTCAACTTCCATTTCCCCCTTAGGTTCACTGCTCCCTTGGTTCTTACCAATTCCATATCGTGAGGTATGATGAGTCCCTTTGGGATCACTTATCCTTGTCTATCCTCTGAAGACTCAGCTTCGATCTCCTCATTAGGTTCACTGCTCCCTTGCTTCTTACCAGATCCATAGCGGAGGTATGATGAGTCCCTTTGGGATCACTTATCCTTGTCTATCCTCTGAAGACTCAGCTTCGATCTCCTCATTAGGTTCACTGCTCCCTTGCTTCTTACCAGATCCATAGCGGAGGTATGATGAGTCCCTTTGGGATCACTTATCCTTGTCTATCCTCTGAAGACTCAGCTTCGATCTCCTCATTAGGTTCACTGCTCCCTTGCTTCTTACCAGATCCATAGCGGAGGTATGATGAGTCCCTTTGGGATCACTTATCCTTGTCTATCCTCTGAAGACTCAGCTTCGATCTCCTCATTAGGTTCACTGCTCCCTTGCTTCTTACCAGATCCATAGCGGAGGTATGATGAGTCCCTTTGGGATCACTTATCTTTGTCTATCGTCTGAAGACTCAGCTTCGATCTCCTCATTAGGTTCACTGCTCCCTTGCTTCTTACCAGATCCATAGCGGAGGTATGATGAGTCCCTTTGGGATCACTTATCCTTGTCTATCCTCTGAAGACTCAGCTTCGATCTCCTCATTAGGTTCACTGCTCCCTTGCTTCTTACCAGATCCATAGCGGAGGTATGATGAGTCCCTTTGGGATCACTTATCCTTGTCTATCCTCTGAAGACTCAGCTTCGATCTCCTCATTAGGTTCACTGCTCCCTTGCTTCTTACCAGATCCATAGCGGAGGTATGATGAGTCCCTTTGGGATCACTTATCCTTGTCTATCCTCTGAAGACTCAACTTCCATTTCCCCCTTAGGTTCACTGCTCCCTTGGTTCTTACCAATTCCATATCGTGAGGTATGATGAGTCCCTTTGGGATCACTTATCCTTGTCTATCCTCTGAAGACTCAGCTTCGATCTCCCCATTAGGTTCACTGCTCCCTTGCTTCTTACCAGATCCATAGCGGAGGTATGATGAGTCCCTTTGGGATCACTTATCCTTGTCTATCCTCTGAAGACTCCCTTTCAGTGAGGACGGCAATGGTTGTGTGAGGACGAGATCACATTTGACCACTAGATACAAGTATACCACAGCCAGACCGGTTTCGGCCTTAATATGGTGTTATGTGAAAGTTCTAGACCCAAATTAGAGCCTAGTTGCTAAAAGAACTGTGCTTTGCTAAATAACTGTAAGTTTCCGAAATAGTATAAATGGAATAGACTCTACAATTAGCAGGTACCTTAGATATCAATCAACACTCGTGGATAAACGGTTAAGGCAGCTAAATCTTATTCTTGAGATCAGTCGTTCAAATCATCAATCTCTGGTATTATTTGTTTTAGAGCTTATTGTTTGACCATTTTTCCGTCTAACTTTGAGCGATTAAAGCGAGTGAGTAGAGATCGTTAAGCATATTTTAATCTATGAAATGATTTTTTTAACTGAAAGAAGCAGTTTTTGACGTTTAATTTTGCACATTCCCTTCAAAAAACTTTAATTCTATAATTGTTTGTTTCAAATTCTTTAATTATTTTACTGAAAACATTTCAATTTTTGGTTTTTGATACGAGTTGCATTATATGAAGTCATTAATAATTTTGCGTGCTAAGTTTTGTCTCTCTCTTTGCAAGCAGAAAAAGACCGTTAATATTTCAATAGCTCTTTTTTGCCTTTTTGCTGCTTCGCATCTGTATTCATTTGTTTGTTGGCTATGTTTTTATTGTGAGAGGGAAGTTGTAGTAGGCTGGACAAGGTTTGCCTTAGGCATAATGAACAATAATAGTTTTGAATAATAGTTTAATGAAGGACCAAAGTAAAGTGATTTGCTTTAGTCGCATTGATTTGTGGGTCAAGGGAATCCAAATCAAACTTTCTTGACTGTTTTTCTCGCCGAAACAATTTTCTTGAAGAATTCTTTAATAGAGCCCGAATAACTACCAATAGGGCGTCAGTATGACATATTACTCGATCTTGTTCGGTGTGTCTTTTGTTGCTTAGTATTCTGTTGAAAAGCATATCAGAATGATTAGTTTCTCTCCTCTTTGTGGCCGGAACAAAAATTTTTGATATTGTTTCATTTATCTCTTAAAATTTATTAGTATTATTGGCTCTAAAATTTATCCAATTATGATTCAGAGTACCCAGACACCATCAACCTGGACGAGCACGTAAATGGGGTGAGCGTGAGTCATATCTCGAGGGAGGAGCAGAAGTATGCGCCCCAGGCGGAACAGGAGCAAGAGAGCAGTGAACCAAGTGAGGAGACGGAAGGGGAGTCTTCAGAGGATAGACAACCATATGTGATCCCAAGGGGACTCATCATACCACACGATATGCATCTGGTAAGAAGACAGACTGGAATCATTCAAAAATAAAGGTTTTACGCTGGCAATCAGAAAGGCTGCAATCCGTTACCAGACGTTTTCCGTGAATAGCGTAGTTCACAGAATGGCCAATTGAGTGGAAATTGCAATTTTTACCGCTGTCATGCTCACTTTCTTGAACATTTAAAGAAAACTAATATTATTTAGGTAGTAATTAGGTGAAGGTCGCTTCAGGTATTAATTTTTGCTTTCCGGGATTGAGGTTTTGTCCTATTTTCCCTCGGTTCATTTTCCGGTTTTTTGAACGGCCAATTTTATTATCTGGTACGTTCTTTCATCGATTTTACTGTATTTAAATGCGTGTGACACGTATCTTGCCATGTTTAAGCGATTTTTTTGCAACGGTTTAGCGCATAACGGTTTTATGCATGCTGAATTATTTCGTGTTTTGCAATAGATGAGAATTTTTTTGATTTTCCAGGTTATGAGTGCTAGTCCAATTGAAAGGCCCGAATGTAAAAGCTGTAGCAGGAGCTTTCAGTGTAGTCTAGTGTTAAGATGGGGTTCATCCAGTTATACATTTTTTAACGCGTGTTTTAGAATAATGAACGTAGTGAGTACTCTTATATAGGTTTTGATGATTTAATTTTTAGGCGAATATCATAAGACTTGTTCGCGGTCAATTTTGATTATCGCGGTTTGACTTAAGGTTTCTTTTCAAGTTCACTTCATTACTTTTGTTAAAAGGAAGGCAAACTTCACTTTAGAACAGCAAAATGAAAATGTCATGAAAAAACGTGATTGACTTCTAATTTCGAAAGTGAAATTTGGTTATCAGATTTTCCAGCGTAATAAAAAATTTAGTTTCTGACCGAGTTTTCTCAAATTGGGTTAATTTTACCAAAAAAAATTAAATCATAAATTGCTCATGAAGATCAAAGAGTTTTAAGGCCGTATATTTTTCTTAAAATTCTAAAGTTGAAGTTATTTCAACAACAAGTCAGTTTTTTTTCTGTTTCATTCCGTTCCTTACTCTGTTCGAACTGTCAGTTGGCTATGCTTTTCGTTTCAGCTGTTTTTTCACCAAATTTGATATCAGCAACACCATGGTGGGTTGCTCTCAGGATGATCCTAGTTGTTGACAATTTGGCCTCAAAGTATGAATGCCCAAATCCTAGTTTACGAAATATATTTTTTAATAAAAATTTTTCAAAAAACTACAAGCACTTCACAAAATTTTAATTTACAAGCCTATTTGCAGATCTTGCCTTCAAATATGGCTGCTCAAATTTTTTTAAATTTTAGATATGACATTTTTCAAAAATTGAAATAGTAGATCATTTTGTGATTTGAATTCAGGATACCCCAAGCAGTTGCAGATGTGTTATCAATACTCAATATTGCCCAAACTTCTTCAGTTTCTGAGATATGACGCTTTTTTGTGTTTCAAAAAAAACTGATTTTAAAATTGCTCAACGTTAAAAAATCTCCACTCTATGGCGGGATGATGTTAAGTTACTCACAGAAAAATCCAACATGGCAAAATTGTCATCATTCATCTAGTTGCAATATTCAGAAATTAGTATTAAAATGTGACAAAAAAATCGGAATTTCGAGTAGCAGATGGTTAAACTTCCCAATGATTAACGTACATTTTTTTTCATTAGCTTTCTCACAACTTATATTGCGTTATATTGTCGTACGTATCAAAGATCTGTGATAATTGAAGCAGCTTTGCTGATTCAAGTATGCTTGTGTTTTCTAAAGCATGGATCTTATTTTTTTAAAAGTTTTCACTATAATTGATAAGTCAGTAATTTGTAAATTTAGCAAGTCTGGTTTTGAATAATGATAATAATACAAAATGAAGTTCGTGGGTTAGTGAAAAGTGAGAACTGGCATCTAGAACTTGTAACTATTAGTTTATTCAGCATATTGACGTTTTTCATTTTATCCTCTCGATTTAAATGGTTATTAGTGATAAAATAAACCGCTCATGGAAGTAACCGAATTTGATATGATTTGTAACTGGGCACCCTTTTTATTGACTAGAGGAGATTGCTTGGCGAAGAAGTCATAATATTTTTGGCAAAATTTTTGACAAGCTTTCTCGATAGTTTGCGAAAACCCACCAAGATTTTTTGTCTTCATACTGAAGATTCGCCTTTCTTAACTAAATAGTATGACCGTCGTCTTGGGTTTTTTTTCTTGGAACCCCTGGCGAAAACGTGACTATCGTGTGCACTTATTTGTTTTTCAAGTGATCTAATGTGTAGATGAGGTCCATTAGAAAAAGTGATTGATTGTTTTCTTTTCCAGCCAGAGACAGCTAAACTAGGAGTGGTGATTGAGAAGACAGCCCAACTGGTGGCCACTCAGGGAGCCCAGATGGAAGTGCTCCTGAAGACTAAGCAGAGCAACAACGCGTCCTTCCAATTCCTCAATTTCAACTCCATCTTACACCCCTTCTACATGTTCATACTCACCATGATCAAGAGCAGAAGGTACAATTGCTTTTTGTTCATACTCGCTATGACTTAACTTTTTCCTTCGCAGTTATGACGTAACGCTTATTGAATCCAGAAAGAAGTTTTTGCCTTTTGTTGTTGCTGGCCCGATACTGGCGCAACTTGAGCTGATCGTCTATCATCTCCATAACTGTCTTTACTTGCAGTGTTTATAAAACGCTTAGTTGTTTGATTTTACCAATTTTTTTGAAATAAAATTATTTTCTAAAATATTGAATAAGAATTTTTTGGGTTCGTTTGAAAAAAATGTATTAGGTGTCCACAGGGTAGTCACCTTATAATGAACCGTAATTATCCTTGGAAATTAAAGGCTTGTCATGAAAGACGACCTTATTTTCTTCCACGATGGCCTAATATGGTGATATTTCTAACAAAAAATGGATTCTGTAAAGGGTTTTGATGTACAAAATAATTAAAGTTCGTTGTTTTTGGGAAAAAGTTAGTTGCTATTAAAGGTACACGCCTCAACCTCAGCCAGTGGTACAGCCGAGCACATCAGCAATTCATCCGCCTCCACCTCCCATTGGAAGTGCAGTGACTTCATTAGTACATCAATCAAACAGCTCATCGTCTAATAGTTATCAAAGTGAGTGTAAGCGAAGACTGCCTCCAAGGCATCCATGCTTAAATAGGGACAGTCCTCCACTATTTGCTTCAACACCAGATAGGTTGTGTCATGTGATCTGCGCGACATCAACAGCGTCGCCGGGCTCATCGCACCTGTACCCCACACACTCATTTTCGAATCATTATCGCAAAATAAAAAAGGTATTTCACAATCATTTTGTCTACCAGGAGAAAATACTGTTATGATATCGATTACACAAAATCAGTTGATTCAAAAGTTTGAGTGCTTAGATTGAATTTATCTTGATTATTTTTATTTTTATATATTTATTTGGTGGTAGATCAGTAAATCGATCTATCAGTAAACCGAAAGTTCATTACGTAACCCCATTAGCTAAAAACTGAGATTTTTACAAAATGACAAACTTTTCCCTCTAAACAAAAATTGATTGAAAAATGGAAAAAAAAATACTCATGGGAAAAATTCCCATGCCCCCCCCCCCCCCCCGTAGTTTTAAAAATATTGTTCTAGCTCAGCAAACATTTATTCTATAAATCTTTAATTCCGCAATTGATGTAATTATTACGTAAATCGGTTTACTGATCTGGTAATTTACTGACACATCGGTTTACTCTACGCACCCCATTTATTTATATCTTTATATTTATGTTCATCTTCCTTTCTGAGAACTTTCGGTTTCTCTGATATTGGTTTCTGAGCTGAAAAGTCAAGCATAGCTTTTTAAAGATAAAAAACCTCTAACATCCTTCATATCAGTACATTGAGTTTTTTCAGTACGTTGATTGTAGTGGTGTGCGCAGAAAATTTTCTACGGGGAGGGGCGGTTTTTTAGGTCGACCAATTTGATTTTCCGAGCTCTCCCAAAATAAATTAAGGACCTTATTTGTGAAAAATTAAGGACCTTATTTATTGCGTTTTTTCGGCGCGCGCTCCCCACTCGAAATTAGTCATATTAGCGCCGAAGGCGACTTTAGAGGTTGTTCAGTGAGAAATATATGTCATAAAGTTGTTCCAAAGGGGGACCTTTTGGAAAAATTTGGCAACCAGAATTGAGGGAGGCGGCGCACCCCACCCTCGCCACGCTAATGGTTGATTGGAAGGTTGAATATTCCACATCTCCTGTGATAAACACGATTGTGAGACGCAAAAAAAAATTACGAGCCTCGTGAGGTTCGAACCGAAGATCAAGCGATCAGATGTAGCTTTTATTTAATACCAATTGAAAAGAAACAATTGAAAAATTAAAAAATGTATTTGAACGAGTGTCGAGTTGGCACAGAGGTGTTCGCGTGCTTAGTCTTTGTCGGGCCTCCTCATAGAGGCAATTGAGCTGATGATCAATTGGCACTGTGCGATAGTAGATATGCTTCTGTCTCAAATCCGTAAACCACTGCGCCACGGCTCGCCCGAACACAAAACTACACTGCTTGCTTTTATTCTTCATTGTAACTTGAATAGCTGTGAGTAGGCCGCGTTGTATGAATTGTAATAGTTTACTCTAGTGATTGGTTTGTCTGGCGAGTATATTTAGTAACAGTCTGTTTTCATGACGAAAGAAATTCTGAAGCTTCTTGATGGTAGCGTCTCAAAGCCTCTCGTAATTTGTGTATTTGTGGTGCAACTGTAGTTTTTCCGACAAACCAGCATAAAAAATAAAGAACATAATGCAAAGCCTGCGTTTTAGGCAAGTTTTGTGACGTCGTGTCTCCTTTCAGTCGCGATTATGATTTTAAAATATATCTAACTAGTTAAATTAAGTGTCGATGAATACAGTGAAGGCTCTTAAATGGTCGTTTTGATTTAGTTTTTTTTTTTCAGGAAAAAGCATTAAAAGCTTACGCTCAATTTTTTTTCGCGTTTTGGCTTGATTTTTTTTCAAGTTCGTTCAAAATTCATTAGCTTATTTTTGCTAATGGAATAAACATTTTATCTCTTGATCTAGTTTTCTCAAATGCGGTTAGTTTTATAAGAAAAAAAGTGTTATCATCAAAACTCTGGAAATTCAAAAGTTTTTTTCTTTGTAACTCGAAATTTTATTTTAATTTTACATTGCTTTCATTCATCCCTTGAAGCTTAATAATTGACGTCAACATTGCCTGTTTGCCTTGTTATCTGTGTTAAGACATTAAAAGTTGTTGTGGGAAGGAAATATAATGGTTTCAGTAGCTAAATCAGTCCCGAAAGCGAGCGTGGTGATAGATCACTCGAACAAGGATGGAGACAAGTCAGATGAGTCCGACAGTGACTCTGATTCAGACTCGGACTCCTCGTCTTCAGGAGGGGGAGGTTATCTGCACCCTCTGCTTGCTGGCGGATCACTATCACCTGTAACATCGTCTTCAGCCAATCAGAAGTCAATCAAGGTATCTTTTTGTACTAATTAGGCCCGGTTTTAGGGGGATCCGGCTCACTGACCGACCAAAGGTTCCCCTCCATGGTACTATTTTACATCTGATATTTTGTTCGACCAACTCAAAAGCGCTTACTATTTTTCTTAATTTTTTCTAACTTTTCTAGAGGCGCCTACTATTAATCAAAGACTTATGAACAGGGTTGTTGTTTAAAACACCATATGTTTTAAACAGTATTTTAAACGTTTTTTTTTATTGCTGTTTCTTATTATTGTTTTTATTCCGCTTTTTCACAAAATACAAGCATCGAAGTTTATGGAATTTTCCCGCAAAACAGTGCTGTGTCGTTGATTGGATGCAGTTTTAAAAAAAATCGTTAAGAAATCGACTCGGACCACAGAAAGTTTCCAAATTGGCTTTCTGCTTGCGTGTTTTCAATGAGAAACACTGAGTTTACCCGAGCAATAAATATTTTGAAACTTTTTTTTTCGAATTTAGTTTTCAAACAGTGTTTTAAAACGTTTTTTATTAATAAAAAACTGAATTTTAACAACCCTGCATATAAAATTGACTCCAGAATCATCTATTGTTTTTTCTGATGTTTTTTTTTCAGCAGAAAAATTTTGAGCCAGGAAAAGAGCCCCGCTCCTGAAGTACATCAGAAAGCTTGAAGTGAATAGTTGTTCCTAAATTATTATTGTTACGGAATTTTTCTAGAGCTTAAAAATTAGTTCAAACCTAGTCTTATGATATACTAAACTTTCTGGTAGGTTAACAACAACAACAACCAATCAGAGTCGAAAGATGACAAGAATGAAAGCAGAGAAACGAGTATTGCAACTAAAGACAAAACGAAGGACGCTGAAAGTAAAAAGAGCCAAGCTGATGAAATTGAGCGAAGTAGACGTGATGGTGTGATGCAGCAGTGTCATCAACGTGCTCTGTTAGTAGTAGCCGGTTAATCTCATCCATGAATAGTCATGTCAGTTTTGCGGTCATAGACAGAATAGACTGGAGGTAATGGACATTCAAGGAACTAGCATAACCGATCCCTATAAAGGTCCTGTGACCTGTATGGTTCCAGGGCTCAAGTTTACCCCTTATTTAGGACAGCTAATAGATGAATTTGACCATCGCTCCTTGTTGAATTTTTCTGAAGCTGAATTACTAAGTGTAAATTGGCTTAAAGTATCCATGTTTGAATTTGACTTTGTTTTTTTTTGTTCCTTTTCCATTTTCGTCTTATAGATTTTGGCCTGAATTATATCGACTTAGTGGCGTCATGTTGTCTCATTTGTTGAGAGAACGTTTTTTATGTGTGTTGAGTGGAAAGGGGACTTCATTTTTTTGAGTTTTAGACTTTTTCATGAAAAAATTTTCCGTCTCAGAGTTCCTGCTACGGTTTTTCGGCTGATTGCATTCTCTCGATTCTTTAAATTGGTTTGGCTCGGCAATTCTTTCGATTATTTGCTGGAAGTTTTATGTTATATTCAGCTGGAAAAAAAAATGTTCCAAGTCAGGTTGATGGTGAGGGAGTAAAACTCAGTCTACAGCAGGTACGTGATTTTGGGCAAAAAACCCACCCTAACTAAAGTGCTTTCCAGTTTGTTCGTAACGCGTTCGAAAAAATAACGCAGTTAAATTAAGTTGAGTTAATTTATATCATTCATTTTGTTTTGGTGAAATTCACAGAGCTGCTCGGTGGTTTAAATGATTCTGTAAATGATTCAGCAAGGGTATTGCAATCGGGTACTCTAATATTTTCCGGTATATATATTTTTTGCAGAATGGTAATTGTAGAATGGATGGTACTTATACTTAAAATGATGAATGTGATACATTTAATGCTATGCAATACCTTTATTTAGCGCCTAAAAAGGGTTACTTAGTAGTATCTGGTACATGCAAGATTTTGAAATTGATTTTTTTGCCGAAAGTTTCTGAAGATAATCGGCTTATTAGGCGTCTGTTTTATTTCTTTCGTTTTTTTTCTATATATTTTTTATTTGCTTCTGGTCAAGTTATTCAAAAACAATTTAACCATCCCGGAATGGTGGTTTTCGTCCTAATTTCTGTCGGCTGTTTTTCCGTTCTGTTTCCAAATACAGTTTAATTTATTTGGTCCCTTTTAAGCAGTTTATTTCCACGGCTGGGTTTTTCAAATTTTGATGAAATTAATTTAAACTATAATTGAAAGTTGTTGTTTGTAAATAGTACTTATTTATCTGGTACCCTTTTAAGCAGTTTATTTCCACGGCTGGGTTTTTCAAATTTTGATGAAATTAATTTAAACTATAATTGAAAGTTGTTGTTTGTAAATTTACCAACTGTGATTTTTAATGTTTTTGATTTCGTTTGTTTGAATGGATTTTGCTTATGTTACATCGGCCTGCTCAAATTATGTTGGGTAGTTTTGTGGACGAATTTGTTAATTGGTTTGCCTGTTTCAGGAGGGAAAGGTCGTAAAAAGTTTGATTATCATAATTTTTAGGTGGAAAATTTGTTATGACCAGTCTCGTTTTCGGCTTAAGGAGGGTCGACCAAAGTTTTTCGCCTTAGTTGCCGCTTCGTCTCTGATTCTCAATTCTTGCTTAACATTTTAAAAATAAAATTACTTTCTTTTTAGAGTAATGAAACTAGTGAGTACTCTTATATAGGTCTTTGTGATTTTGATTTTTCGCGGTGTGACTTATGATTTATTTTTCTTTTCTATTTATTTCTTTTGTTAAAAGGAGGGCAAACTCCACTATCGAAAAGCAAAAATGTAAAGACAACGAAAAACGATATCGACTTCTAATTTCGAAAATGGAAATGATTTGTCAGATTTCCCAGCGAAATAAATGTTTTTATCTTATGATCCAGTGTTCTCAAATTGGGTTTATTTTATTACACAATCAAAGCCTGTGTGATAGTATGAACTCTCTGTTTTGCAACCTAGGTCGGATGTAATAGTGTTCATTTGGAAAGTGTTCTTTTGCATTTTGTGCAAGAGCAATAACCAGCTGTTCAGTACAGCCAATGCTAAGGATTTTAACACCGACTATTATGTTACAAATAGCACTTTAGCTTCATATTTTCATGGATCTGTTGCGTAGAAGTAGGGAAGGAGACCCGCAACAAAATAAGAGGGTTCGAACCTGGGTAGGGTCGGATGTTTTTCGTTATACTAGTTGCGTCCGCTCTATAAATTGAGGCATGTTAGTTGGTAAATTTCTTTCAAATTGACTGGTACTGCTAATGCGTCATATTTGGATTGCGTCACTTAGCAATTATGTAGACTCATAATTGGCGAGCGTCACTTGAGAAATTATGTAGACTTAAACTTTTACTCATTCAGTTTTTCCTCAGTAGTGTTATCGGTCATATTTTTGCTTGAAAATGCGCAGTGCAACTTCGCCTCTGTATCAAAAAAGTTTCAATCATAAATTGTTCCACAAATTCACAGAGCATTAAAGCCATCTGTTTTTTTCTTCGACATTCAAAAGTTGAAGTTTTTTTTCTAAAAAAAATTCGTTTTTTTTTTTAGTTTCCTTGAGTTCATTACTCTGTTCCAACTGTTACTTGGCTGTTTTTTTCTTAAAAGAATTTTTTTTTACTTGTATTGCATGTGTTGCGAAGCTCCGCTTGGCCTCTGCGTTCACGCAGTCAACTTTGTTCGAATTTTTAACTCGATACTGCTGTGTTTGTTATATCTTTTGCGATGAAGATAATTGATGAGTTTATGCGCTTCTTTCTTGACTAATTGTTTTATCTGTTTTTGCGTAAACTAATTTTCTATAACGATTGAGATATTTTTAGTCAATTTTTTGCATCCGTTTGAGGCGTAGACTCGGTTTTAAAAAATCTTAATTGCTATCAGATCAGAAAAAAAATAATATAAAGCTTTGATAAGTTTTGCTTAGAATTTGGAGAATTAATCGTTTCAAAATGTCAATTTTTTCGCAATGTTTTCTATTACCCACATTTTTTTATATATCCATGTTTTTATTTTATTCAATTTTGAGCGGTGTAAGTACTGTTTACGGCTTTGGTCTTTAGCAATCTAGCGTTACTGTCAGTTAAGAAAAAAGTTGAAATGAGTATCTGTTTTCTCGGCCCACGCCCTTTGGTTAGTTTGTGTACTCGGTTTGTAGCCATTTTCTGTGAATTCTGTTTATCGGAAAATGTTTGGTGCAAATTAATCCATGATGAAACTTTTTAACATTACTAGTATTTTTCTGCTTTTTAAATGTCTCGTTTTCGGACTATCGTGTATCTACTTCTGTTGTCCGCTTAGTTTTCCCGGCTCATTTTTTCTTAATAGATCAGCGATTTCTATTGTTGAAAAGTGCCATGTCTGAAATATTAAATCGTACAGGATAAAAGCTTTTGTATATTTCGGCTTTGATTTTCGCGTTGAAGTTTTTTTTTCGAATTAAATTGGTGTCGGCTTGTTTGACCGATTTTGTGGCTTCATTCTACTTCGTTTGAAGAGCGAAAATAGATTTTTTGCGTTTATGTTTTACGAAATGATCATCAAACATGGAATCTCAAAAGTCATAAAATCTTCCAATGAATTTCAAAAATCATATTTATAAAGTTTTTTATGAAAGTTTTTTTTTCGGGACTCAATGGCCTTGTACCTAATTTTAGTCTGATTAATGAACGCTCGATAAATTCAATGGCAATGCTTATTCAATGCTGTTGATCATGGTTCCGAGACAAGTTTCTCTAGATAGTTTTTTTTTTAGACAAACCTATGACTATTTTGGGTGGTGTGTTATCTGTATTTTTTTTGAGTTGTGGTGCATTTTTTCATTATTTGTATTGTATCGCAAGTGGTGCGTAGCTCTGCTTCGCTTCTGTATATACTGTTTTTTTTAGTTTCAATGATTGGAGTGAAGACCTCTATATAGGTCGTAGTTATTGTTTTCAAATGTCGATGAACAGAGTTCAGCGATATTGAGGTCTTGCAGAACTTTTGTTCTTTCAGGAAAAAGTGTTTGCATTTTCCACAACTATTTCGTATTAGTGTATTTCATTTCAGAAAATATGATAAACCTGTTGTATCGAAAGTGGGATTTTATTATTAGATTTCCCGGCGGAATATATTTTTTTTCCAGTTCTCAAATTTTCCTCATCCTGTATTTAATACAGTTTCCTGAAATTTGGACAACTTTAGCGTAAACTTGTCTTTTGTACAAGATTCCTGAAAATCAAAGAGCTGTAATATGATGTATGTGTTTCTTCGAAGTTCGAAAAAAAATCAAAAAAGACTTCAGTATTTTTTTCTGTTTTCCTGAGTTCATCGAAATTTTTCCAATTCTTGGCTATGTTTTCGTTTTTTTTCTCGACAAAAAGTCTTGCTCATTCTCAAATGTACATGTTAACGGCCTGACCCGTGATTTTTTGAAGTTCAGTTTGAAGTCTTTTGTTGAAATGGAAATTGAGGGAAAAGCTTGAATTACTTTTATTTTCGAATGTGGATTCAAGTTTTCATCAGAAATTAAAGAATTTACTCAAGTCCATTTTTCTCAATATTAATGAAATTTAAAAAGATTTTTGGAAATTCGAACCTAAAAAAAAGCTTATAATGAACTGTTAAGAGTAATGAACGTAGTGAAGACTCTTATATAGGTCTTACTGATTTTTTTTTTCAGGAAAAAGTCTTAAAATATGGATGCACTTAAGTATAACGCAATTTTTGAGTTCTATTGAATTTCATCTGCTGAAAGTGACGTAAATAGCACTCTCCAGATACAAACGTTGAAATGGCGCAAAAAACGTGAACGATTTCTAGTTTCGACTGTGAAATTTAGTTTATAGATTTCCAGCGTAATAAAAGCTTTAACTGTTGATCCAGTTTTCTCTAGTTGGGTTAATGTTATCAAAAAAGTGCCAGTCATAAATTGTTCTAGAAATTCAAAGGGCTTAAAGGGCATCCATTTTTTTCTTTGGAAATTGATAGTTGAGAGTTTTTCAACAAAGTGTATATTCTATGTTTACTTGCGTTCATTACTCTTTTCCATTCTTCGATTGGCTATGTTTTAAAAATAATCAATCATTTTTTTTTTGGTTTCTTTGTTTGTTTAACGTTTATCCAATTCTCGGTTGGCTATGTGTTGAACTACAAGTTTATTAGTCTATAGTATAATGGGCTACCAGTTTTGATAGATTTCGCTACGGTGAGTTTATTTCCCTTGATGCAACTATATCTATTTTTGTGCCAACTTCTGTTTTCTTTCCAGTACCCGCCTTTACTATGACGGCCTCTCCCACGTGCCAGTGGTTCCGCCTGCCCCAGACAGACAGCCAGCAGTGGACAGACTGGCGAAGGAGGTTGCCCAACAGCCAGACCCCAATGCTTACGAAGAGGGGTTGAGACAGGCGCAGATTGAGGCGATGAAAGACCAGACTGCAGACAGTGCACAAGAGTATATAGAGAAGAGGTTTCTATGGGTACGTTTCAATCATCAATGAGTATTGCCCGTTTCCATGCCAGAGACGACAAAATTCACGTTTTGAATCCGTTCAGGACTGGTTTTTTGCAAACTCAAGAAGTTTCAGCTTGGAAAAAATTATTGTTTCTATTAATTTTTTTGGGGCTTAATTGCAGTGGCAGGGATTTGAGCACGGACTTTATATTGCAGTATTTAAAAATTTTTGCCTAAGTTGATTTTTTTATGTTTTCATGTAATGGTTCGAATAATTACATGTTGAGTTCAGAGAGACTGCTGAAAATTTTTTGGAAAAAAATAATAATTTTTTGATATACAATTTTTAGACGTTTCTTTTGAAGGTTTTATGTAGTCACAAAAAGCAGTGAGTGGAGCCTTGTCTTGAAGCTTTGGAAAGAATGATATTCAACTGATCGAAAAAAAAAATCAGTTTGTATGAAACTGAAAAAAAAAATTCCGAGAAAAATTGAATTGTCGGACTTTCATTTGTCTGCTTATCTGTAGTCGGCTTAGTTGCAAATTGAAAAATAAGCTTTTGCTGTCATCAATTTAATTCGTAGATGCTAGTGTTTTTGATTAACTCCTGTAATTTGCAAGATTAATGGCCCTGACGTATATTTCCATTGATTTTCGTGTTTTTTTTTTTAGTTCAAAAGCTTTATTTGGCCTAATTGGTTTCGGTTTAGTTACCTTGTTTTGTGTTGCTTGAAAGGCAAAAAGTGTTTGGATTTAGAAAAAAAAATTGAGTGTGTTGCAGGATTTTAAAACTTAATTATTCGAAATTTTTTATGACAGCAATTTTTGCTCTCTACCCACTTACCGATCGTCTACCCATTTATTGGCCGCTCGGCAAGTACTAAAAGCTTATTTAATACTGTAGGTTGTGTTTTTCTACTGTTGTTTTTAAATAGTGTTCTTTTTTCTCGATTTTGTTATTTCCGTCTCTATTTCTCTTCGCTAGATTGCAATGCTGCGCCTGTTTTGTATAGCAAGTGATGCGAAGCTCCGCTTCGTCTCTGTGTTTACACAAGCATAGCTTCTGTTATAGTATGAATTCTTTTTTTTTTCACCTAAGTCTCAAATATTGTTGCCATTCTATTGTTGCGACAAAATGTGTACATTGTTAAAGTTCATTTTGATCCAGCTATTAAGTACAGCCAATGCTAAGGATATTAACACAGACTATTATATTACAAATAGCACCTTAGCTTCAAATTATCATGGATCTGTAACGTAGAGGTAGGGAAGGAGACCCACAACAAAATAAGAGGGTTCGAACCTGGCCAGGGTCGGATGTTTTCAATGAACTTTTTCGTATACTAGTTGAAATGCGTCGGCTCTATAAATTGAGGCATGTTAGTTGGTAAATTTCTTTCGTTTTTTAATAGACTGGTACTGCTAATACGCCATAATTGGCTTGCGTCACTTCGCAATTGTGTAGGCTCATAATCGGCGTGCGTCACTTGAGAAATATCGTAAAGTTTTACTCATTCAGATTTTTCCAGTAGCGTTATCGGTCATATTTTTGCTTGTATCTGCGAAGTGCAACTTCGCCTCTGTGTTTAATTTAAAATGTTTCCGATGTCATCTAGTGGACCAAAGAATGTAATCCGTTTTTGCTTGTATCAATACATCAGGTGAAAAAAAAATATTTTTTTTTTAAAAAGTGTTTTTAGTTTGGTCCTTTGTAAATATTTACAATTTTAAGTGTCACTAAACGGAGTGAAAACACATATTTATTATATTTATTAAACAATTGTTTCCAGACGAGATCCCGAAGTGATAACAAAAAATGATTTGGTGCATATCTATTCTTTTGTGAATTAGCATATGGGAAAATCTTTTTATGAAGCTTGTTTTTGGGTGTCTAATTGAAAAACATCCGATTGTTTTGGACACAAAACGAAAATAAATGAGACAGAGGGTTGCTTGATTACTTTCACTCAGAAGCAAATCACTCATTGACAATAAGTTGCATTAGGGGAGGCCACAAAGTTTGAAAACACCTTGGTTAACTTTTTGTTGCAGCCTCAGGATAGCAATCACGTGTATTATCGGTTCAAGAAGTACTACTTCCTGGAGTGTCTGTCTCTGCTGGGCTGTTGTGACCCGCAGGAGGAGTGGAGGAAGAAGGAAGAGGCGAGAGTGGAGTTGGAGCAGAGGAAGGCAGCTGCAGAGGCTAAGGCGGCTGCGTCACAGCAAAACAACAGCAGGAAGAGACCTAGCTCCACACTGCCCGGTAGGTGTAAGGATCCAATTTACAGCGAAATGAACACTTAACCTCAGTAAACCCCCGCCTTCTCAATCATTTTTTCCGTATAATTTGTAATTTTTGCATATATGAAGATCAAACATGTTTAAAATAAATGGAGTGGCCATTTACCACAGTTGATAAATATTAAAAAGTTATTGCTGATAAATGGTGGGGATGTCAACATAAAATGCAGGACTGTTTCCACCGTCTGTTGTGGCCAGGAGCTGGGCTTTTAAGTAAGCCCGGCTTGGTACTCCCAATATTTTAGTGAAAAGTTACCCTCGTGTTCCTCCATCATATTTTTCACGTCTGACATTACTTAGTTACTTTTTTGCATTTATCTAATTGAAAAATCAGGTTGCTATGATCCTTCGAATAGGTCCCGAAAACTTGCATGAACACTTATTTGTATTTCAGGACCGATCAAGTTTTCGATATCGCCCGGTGCGAAGAAGCTGAAGGGTGGCGGCGGCGAGTTGCTGTCTAAGGAGAGTGCCCTCCCCTATGAGTCGAGTGACTCAGGAGAAGAAAATGAAGAAACAGAAGCGGCCGAGAATATATTACAAGACGAAGAGGAGGAAGAGAAGTCAAGTATGAAATTTTGAAAATACTTTATTCTAACTCAGTTTTTATTTCTAAAAAACATCTTCTCGGGCCGCGTTTTGAAAAAACCCCAATATGCTCACAAAACAATGAAAGAAAAAATTGCCCAGTTAGCAATTTGCATAAAGATAAATTAATCAAACAGAAGTTGTCTCGGATGGTCAATAGATGGTCTTCAACAATATTTTATTTCTAAAAGCGTTAATGAGCAAAGTTAATAATTATCTAATTAGATCGTGTTTTTAATTTCGTTACATTTTATTTTGAGTTTAAGAGTTATGACGTAGTGAGTACCCGTAAATAGGTCTTGCTGATTTTTTTTTCACGAAAAGGTCATAAAATTTGTTCACGCTTAATTTTGATTTTTCGCGGTTTGATTTGTGATTTCTTTTTAAATTCAGTGCATTTCTATTGTTAAAAGGAAGGCAAACTCCACTATCGAACATCAAAATTGTAAAGGCCACGAAAAACGTGATCGGCTTCTAATTTTGAAAATGAAAATTAATTATCAGTTTTCCCAGCGGAATAAAAGTGTTGCCTATTGATCCAGTTTTCTCAAATTGGGTTAATATAACAAAAAAGTGCCGATTATAAATTGTTTTACAAACTCAAAGAGCGTTAAGGTCATCTAATGTTTTATTCGAAATTCAAAAGTTGAAGCTTTTTGAAAAAAAAAAAACATGTCGGTTTTTTTTTTCAGGTTCTTTTGCGTGCATTATTCTTTTCCAACTGTCAGTTGGCTATGTTCTTTTTAAGTTCAATGCATTTATACTGTTAAAAGGAAGACAAACTCCTTTTTCGAACAGCAAAATTGTGAAGGTCACAAAAATGTGATCGACTTCTAATTTCGAAAATGGAAATTTATTATCAGATTTCGCAGCGAAATAGAAGTTGTACATATTGATCCACTTTTCTCAAATTTGGTTAATTTTAACAAAAAAGTGTCAATCATAAATTGTTCTACAAATTCAAAGAGCTTTAAGGCCATCGGTTTTTTCTTCGAAATTCAAAAGTTGAAGTTTTTGAAAAAAAAAAACAAGTCGGTTTTTTTTTCAGTTTTCTTGCGTTTATTACTTTTTACCACTGTCAGTTGACTATCTTTTTGTGTGCGGAATGATGTAGCTCAGTGGAATTTGTCATTAGAAACTATACGACAACTCAAATAATAAAACTTTTTAAAATTGAACAGAACGTGTCGTCATTTCTTGTTTATGAAACCGAATTTAGTTTCATAAATTACCAGCGGAATAAAAATTGAACTCCAAAAAATTCACCAGCTCCAATTGAAAATGTTTTCCATAGTTTAATTACGCATGCGATTATCAAGCGTTATCAAATCGGGTTATATACTTTTTTCGGGTTAACAACTTTTTTAACAGATTCTCTTGATCCCTTGGTTAACAATGAACTCAAATTTATAAGTGTCTCCGGCACAAATTGTCTAGAGGTAACGAATACGTTTGGTGTAGCAAAAGACCTTTTTTATATAGTAAATATTCCGTTTCAAAAAAATGTCGGCTTATGATTATGTTTTGTCGGCTGATAGTTGCCACATCTTAGATTTTTTATGATCATATAAGATGTAAGGTATGTAACAACGATATAAACATCTAATATTGTTTCTTAAGTTTTCATTGTAGTTGCCTTTTATGATTCTATTTATTCCTTCAATTTCTAATTCTGCTAGCTTTGACTTCGTACATTTTTCTTTTTCTTGCTCAAAAAGTATTTCGGCTTTTATTTTAATGGCTGACAAACCTAATTTTGGGTCGTTCGAGGGAACAATAACTAGAAGGAAAAGACAAGGGGACCTGGTGGTGAAATAAACATCTTCCCCTAGGTAAAGAGTTGACAATTTACAAGTTATTAGATGTAATGAACGTAGTGAAGACTCTTTATATAGGTCTTGGTGATTTTTTATGTTTTTTTTCAGGAAAAAGTCTTAAAATGCTCTAATAACTACAGATGTGAACTTAGGTTTATATGCTCTTTTTGAGTTCAATTGACTAATCTGCAGAAATTTACGTAGATAGCGCTTTCCAAACACGAACGTTGAAATGGCGCGAAAAAATGTGAACGATTTCTAGTTTCGAAAGTGGAATTTAATTTTACCATTTTCAGCGGATTAAAAACTTCGCCTAGTTTTCTCCAAAATTTACCTTCAGGTTTTCTAAAATTCGGTTCTTGCTATCAGAAAAGCGCCAATTATAAATTGTTTTAAGTGTTCAAGGGCATCTACTTTTTCCTTTGAAATTCGAAACAGTAGGGGATTTGGAGGGGACGATCCCCCCTCAGGGATTCGATCCCCTGCCGACCCAAAGGGTCACCCCTTCATACTATTTTGAATTTAAAGGGATTTAAAAAATTCTAAAAACGCCTTTTTGGCCTGTTTCTTCAAAATTTTGCCTGCGAAACAGGGACTTTTTATATATATATTCCTAGATCTTAGTTTGATTTCCGAGCTCTCCCAAACTAGTAAAAAGACCTTGGTTTGGCCGATTTTTCTGCGCCGCGTTTTTATGCATTTTATGGAAATTTTTGACAAAAAATTGCGTTTTTTCGGCGTGCGCTCCCCCCTCAAAATTATTCATATTAGCGCAGAAGGCGCCTGATGAAATTTTTTGAGGTCCCTCAGTCAAAAATTTATATCTCAAAATAGCTCAAATGGGACGCTTTGGGTCGTAGGTGGTCGAATCCATGAGGGGAGGGAGGGGGGGTTTGTTCCCGCCCCTCCCCTAAATCCGCTCCTGAACTGCTTTGTTCTTTGGGGACAATGAAACAGCTGCAGCTCAAGTTCGAATTATAGCCTAATTAACATTGCTTGCTAAAATTTTTTCAAGGTTTACTTAGAACTGAAAGCGTAAAATTAGACGACTATCCGTTAACTAAACGTTTCAGCGGAGGTAGACAGTAGCAAGTTCAAGCCAATTGCTTCATCAAACTCAGACAAAAACGTCAAAGAGGAGACGTCGCAAAGTGAACAAGGCTCGGCGTATGAAAACGACCCTGATGCTGCGATAAGAGGTAAAATAATTTATTCGAAATTTCAGCATCTGGAAGCTAAAAGGCATTTTATTGTGAAAGTTTAATTTAAACAGACGTTATTTGCAATTTGAGCTGACAAAAAGTATCTGGTCAATTATGTATCCTTTCTTGTTCTTTCCGTTATGGTTTGCTCTGTGATTTTTCGCGAAGTTGCATTGTTTAGCAATGACAGCTTTCTTATCGGAGCTGGAAGCCAGGAATCCAGACCCTTTTGGCAGAAGCGATCACCACAAAGGGAATTCATCGTCGTCGAACAATTCGCAACCTCAGTCAAACGAACAAGATCAAGCTCCAATGAGTGAATATGAAAAGGCTCTGCAAGCCGAAAGGAAACGAAAAGCCTCTATGTTTCTGATGCGGCTGAAAAAGAACAATGAAATTCCAGCCACTAGTAAACCAAAAATTGGTAAGTTATGCTCTATTGTTTCTATTCTTAGTCCCATCTATGGTTTTAATGGTTGTGAAACCTGAGATACATTAAAATTATTCAACTCTAAATTAATATTTTTCAATATGTTTTAGCAAATGAAATCTCTGAATCAAGCGGCGATAGTTCTCTTAATGACTACAACGAACCTAATACGGAATTAGAAAAAAGCGATTTACAGCCAGCGGAAGACATCTGATGATTGACTTCAGAGTCCCTTTTTATTTTTTGTGCGTTATTTATAAGCTTTAGTTTTGATACACTGATTTGATTTAATTAAACAGTACCCGCTTAATTTTTTATTAGGAATTACGTACTTCAATGTTCATACAGTTCAATGTTCAAATAATTATCGAATTCTTCAAGGTTTGCTCATGCTTAACAGTAGTAGTAGTTAGTGCGCCAGAAACGCTTGGGGAAGGGAGCGGAAATGCGCAAACTAGGAGCGGTTAATGGTGCGCGAACTATTACAACTTTTAACTTTTTTCTTACCCTTTTTGAAGTTTTGTTCCTTTTCAAGTTTTTGCCGAATTCTTCAAATTAGAAAAAAAAACTTGCTCTTAACTAACAAAAGCTAAGCATAAAATACCAGAAAAAAGAAACTTGACTTCAGTTGCAAAATCTGGTTTAACATCCAGGTTTCCACTGGAATGAAAACTTATTCATAGTTCTCAAATGAAATGCTCTTTCAAATGAAAATCAAAGCCTTTTTTCGAAATTTAGAAAAGAAGTAAAATAGTTTTGTTTTCATAACTTTTTCCTATTACTGTAATATTCCTGTCATTCGATATTCTCGAACTGAAGCAGATTTTTTTTAGGCTTTGATTGAAGCGGTTTCATTGTCAAACGTAAGACCGATAAAAATTTATTTTTTTTTCGAAAGTAATAACTTCTAAATTATTGTCGTATTATTGCGAGAGCAAGTGTCTTGTTGTCTGGATTGTTTTTTTTCTTACTTTTTTTAAACCTCAACTTCCCAGTTCGTTCTTACTTGGCCTAGGGGTAACGCTGGCGCCTAAGGCTTGTGCCAGCAGTTCGAGTTCAGGCCGTTTTTTTCAGTATGTATGCAATTGAACTTTTTCTCGGTAAAAATTGAATTGTTGGACTTTCGTTTATCTGCTCAAGTTTTCGGCTTAGTTGGCACATTTTTCGTGTGCTGTTAGCAGCTTCCCTTGAAGTTGCAATTGCAAGTGTTATCCCTTGTTCTTTCAAGAGGTACTTATAATCTTAAAGATTTTTTTTAAAATTTTTTTCTCAGCTTATGTCTTCGGAAGTTTCCTCGGCTGTTTCGGCTGTTTCCTCTTCGTAAGTTTTGTTCCGTTGCTTATTTAATATTCAAATGTTTGACATGTTTGGCTAAAATGAGATATTATTGAGTAATACGAAATATTTAATTTTGGTTGAGCTATTTTTTTGTACATTTTTCGTGTTTTTTTTCGACTTATGTTCGTATGTTTGTTTTGCCTCGTAAGTGAGGCGCAGCTCTGCTTCGCCTCTGTGTTGAAAACTGCTGGTGATAATTGTTCGGCCAGCAAAAGAGATTCGCTGCTCTGATAATTTAAGGTTAAAAATAATACAAAGTTAAGTGTCAATGAACGTAATTGTCTAAAAATTTCTTCACCCTCGATGTCAATTTTTCGCAGGTTGTTTTTTGATTCGTTCTAAGTTCACTTCTGTACTTTTTTTTAACAGAAAGGCATGTTCTATTATCAGAAAGCAAAGGTGTAAATGTCACGAAAAACTTGATCGACTTCTAGTTTCGAAAATCGAATTTTATTTTCAGATTTACCTGCAAAAAAAAATTATTTACCTCTTGATCCAGTTTACTCACATTAGGTTAGTTTTATCAAAAAGCCACCCATTATAAAGTGTTAGTGAAATTTTAAGGGCATAAATTTTTTCTTGGAAATTGGAAAGTTAACGTTTTTTCGAATCCATTTGCTAAAAGGAAGGAAAATTACGCTCTCTAATTGGGAAAGTTGAAATGACATGAAGAAACAAGAATGACTATTCGTTTGGGAAGTGAGTTTTAATTATGATTTCCAGCGCAAATTTGTTTTGAAAGTTCTCAAATTGGGCTTTTTTGAAATAAATTTTACTATAAAAGATTCTTTTAACTCGATGTTTTTTTTTTACTCACGGTCAAGTTTACAAAACTACAAATAACCGAAACTTAATCTTATTGATTATTGTTTGTGTGCTTGAATGTCAATTGACGTTTTTCCATCGCATTTTTGGATTGAGTGATATATCGTATTCATTCATGCTCAGTTCAGAAGGTAAAACTGGTAGAAAAGATTACATTTTTCAAGAGAAAAGGAAAAACCAATTGAAAAGTACCTAGCTGAACGATAAATTGAGGGGTTAGCTGTTTGTTTTGACGTTAGTCGTCCTGAATTAAAAAGAGTGATAAGAAAAGTCACAAGCTTTTGTGACGAATTTAACAGCCAAAAATAGACCGATGGAAGACTTAATACCAGAAACTGCGTATGCTTTGGTGCAGTAAATGTTCAAGTATTTAGTGCAAATTATCTTGTTTTTTTCCGGCTTTCAATTCTTAATTGTAGACTCGTTAGTCTTTGAATTATTATAAATTAATGTTTGGTCGACTGTTTTATGAAGAACTGTCTATTTTTCCGGCGAATTATTCACGTTTCTATGCTTTTAGTCTAAATTATTGCAACGTGCATTTCAAATGTTTTTTGATGTTTCTAAAAGAGAAACTTGGCTAAGGTTCACTTTGAGATCGTCAAATTTAGCAGTCGTGCCCGAATGAGATAAGAGAAGCGGCTCACAACTCGAGGGTCGTCCACTTCGGTTTTTTTCTTCGCAGAAACCACAAATATTATTATTACAAGTCAATGTGCGCACCCTGATTCTATGCATATTTTATTTAAACAACATGAGAACTGGCTGCCAGTGACTTTTAATGTTACTTTCCATTTTATTTTTCTTTAGATGGCGCATCTTAATTCGAAAAAAAAAACACTTTTTGCATTTCTAGAACTTTTTGGTACGTGCATCTTTATTGAAGAAAACGTTTTATTTAATCGACGAATTGCTTCAAAAATGTTTTGAGATTTTGAAGGCACAGAAATTTAGTTCATTATTTAGTTATCAAAGTTATCAACTTTACTTCTGATGTTTCGTTGGTGAGCTTTTATTGAATGATCGGAGTCGGCCTTCTCTTTCTTCTGATTTATACAGTTTTTAAAACTTTAATGAGATTGTTAAAGCACCGAATTTTTTCAAATCTAATTTTTTTCGGGTACAATTAAATTTGTTCTATATTTAGCTATTATAGTGAAGGGCTATACTTATTTCTTAAGTTTCAGTCATGAGGGAAATTTTTAAAGGCACCAACTTTTTTCAAATCTTATTTTTTCGGGTACAATTAAATTTGTTCATTATTTAGCTATTATAGTGAAGGGCTATACTTATTTCTTAAGTCTCAGTCATGAGATTTTTTTGAATGATTGGAGTTATGAATAAAGAACAGAGTCGGCCTTTACTTCTCCTGTTAAAGTTTTTCATGCTACTAATGAAAAACACATCCAACCAAGCAGTATTTTTTATTTAGAGGTTCCGATATTTTAAAGGTGTTAGGAGGTCCATGAAATTTTTCAAAAACGGAACTGTCGAAAAACTAATCTGCTTAAGATTTTAAGAAAGTAGTTCATAGAAATTGAACCAGCTAAAGGTTTTATCGATTAAATTTGTGAGCGAAGTGAAGTCACATTTTTTAAAAAGTGGATTTGTTTTGTAAGAGCTCTGTTGAGAAAAGAAGCTAAGTGAGTGGCTATTATAATAATGTGAATCTGATTTTAATGGAATATTGAAATGTGCTCACGAACCTATTGATGTTTGAGATTCCTCAAGATTTACTAGAGTTGTGTTAGCATGATTAGGTAGCTGTTCAGCGAGTTCATTATTTTCAAGAGTAGAAAACATCTCACCTGAACTTCATCTAAATTGATTAGGTGTATTTTAAGATTTTTGTTTTGGTTTTTGAGTTTCGCGCTAAGCCAGGTACCACAACTGATCATGGGAATGGGTTGAGTAATATATTATCTTGCAGCCCTCTCAGTCATGATTTGAACGATGTTGAAAATTTTGAACAAAAAATCTGTGGCCAGGAAAACCGGCCTGAAATTTTTGGTCTTATTTCAAACTAATAAGTTGAGCTTACATTTATGCTTAATTTAAGCTGTGAAATTTTAGTTTTACTCAAGTTAAGTTTGATATATTTTTTTCTTTTTTGTAAAAACCATTTTTACAATTTGTCTATTTGACTATGAAGGTCGAATCTGCCTAATTTTTTCCCGTTCAGATCTTTTATCACATCATATTCAGATATTTTCCGTTCAGATCTTTTCTTTCTTGACTTCGCCTCTGTCTATTTTCTGCAAAAACCGTTTTCGGATTTGCCCATTTCACTTTAACTGTCTAATATGCCTGTTTACCCTTCGGGTAGCAAGGGTATTGCAATTGGGTACTAGATTTTTTCTCTGGAAACAACTGTGTCCACGGTTATTGTTCCGGTTGAAAAAAGTTTTTGGCCTTTTATTTGTCTGCTTATGTTTTGCCGGCTTAGTTGCCACATCTAATAATCGTTTATTTTAGCTGTAAACATTTTTATCTGCTTTTTTAAGCATTTTAAAAATCCGGCCTTACCGAAGTTTGCTTTTTTAATGGTTGTAGTAAGTTAATTTGGTAAGTTAAGTTACATTCCAAGTTGTTGTAACCCCGTTGCTTGAGACGACAAAGCTTGGAAGTTTGATTCTTGCAAATAGATTTTGTTTTTCTTGCAAATAGAAAATTTTGGCTAATTTAAATTGTCTGTCTGCTTATTGTTGTCTGCTTAGTTCCGCAGAAAGGACTATTTTTTGAAAAGTTGGCTTCTGTATAGCATTTCTAAATCTCGCTGTAGAGCTTCGAATGGTGCAGGCATTTTTGTTCCGGGTATTTTGGGCTTTTGTTGCAATTTTTATTGACAAAAACGATTTATCGAATTTTTTTTCGTTTTGATTTTCATAGCCATTCATATTTGTATCGCAAGTGGTGCGAAGCTCAGCTTCTCCTCGATGTGAGAATGTCATATTGATTCCAAATGTTTTGGAGTTCTCAAAAAATATATATATAGTAGTTCTGAGTTTTTTGCAGTTTTTTTTCAACCTTGAAAATTACTTCTATTTTTTGTGCTTTTTCCCCTTACTTATAGGAACGCAATGAATGGAATCCTGTGATAGACCAGGTTTTGCAAAAATGAGGTGCCGTTAGTCAACTTCCAAGAAT